TTATTTCGACAGGAAAATCCACGCCCAGAGGAAGTTCGCTCAAGGGTGCTCCTTGCCAGGAACTCCAACCAGCACCCCGGCCAAGTCGATCAACACGCCAGTGAAGCTTCTCTCCTCGCGCATCCCAAAGACTGAGGACTTCCTCACATTCTTGTGTCTCAGAGGTTACAGTTGGTGTTGTGGCTCTATTGTGGGCATGCATGCTGTTGTCATTTCTTTGTTCTTTTCTGTTCTCGTTAGCTGCGTTAGATTTCTGCAGCTTTCTCTTGAGACTGCTGGGGATGTCTTTGTAGAAGGTCGAGTTTGGTGCTGATATTTTGTATTCATTCATGCAGGTGGTTGTATAAGGCTGGTCTCGTTCCTGCTTCTTTCTGTGCCCTCTGTAACTTTCGTACATTTTTGTCTTGATTTTTTTTCATGGGGGAGGATTAATCTACGAGGCTAATAACTAATATTCTGATGCGCATGTAATGCAGTCCTGTGAAGGAAGGAGTTTTATTTGGACCATCTCTTTCAACTCTGCTTGTATCGACTATGTGTGGGCACACACACACACACACACACACACACACACACACACACACACACACACACACACACACACACACACTCACACACACACACAATCTCTCACACACACACTCACACATACACATATTCTCTCACACACACACAATCTCTCTCACACACACATACTCTCTCACACACACATACACACACACATGTATGCGTGCGAGCACTCTCACACATATTTATTATTTTATGCACTCGCTCACTCACACACACACACACACACACACACACATGCGTGCGTGCGAGCACTCTCACACATATTTATTATTTTATGCACTCGCTCACACACACACACACACACACACACACACACACACACACACACACACATCCAACATCTTTTTGTCGACTGTTCTCCCAAGGGATGTCATAAAGTGTAAGGAGACTCTACCACTACTATTTAGTGAATGTACACCACTACTATTTAGTGAATGTACACCACTACTATTTAGTGAATGTACACCACTACTATTTAGTGAATGTACACCACTACTATTTAGTGAATGTACACCACTACTATTTAGTGAATGTACACCACTACTATTTAGTGAATGTACACCTCCAGCATTTTAGATGGTTCCGGATGTGAAATGATTGTTGTCTTTCTCCCATGCTTTTCTGTGTTATAGATCAATAGAAGGCTTTTTTTATGTTGTGTCTTTGTGTTTTGAAATGAGAAGGTTTCAGCGATTTGTTCAGGATTTCTGTCATGTTTTACTGAAAGGGGGATGGAACTATCATTATTTGCATGAGCCGATGATATCTGTTGTTTTTCTCGTAGTTTTAGTCTGTGTAACCTTTCCTGAGGTGGATGAGATTAAAACAAGAATTTGAGATGTCACTGTGGGTGGTTGGCGGGTGCTCTGGTGTGGTTTGGTCCTTCTTTCCTATCAAATGTCTATTATCCTTATCTCTCCTCCTTTTTTGTGTGTTACTCTCTTGTAACACCTCCAATCTTCGACACTTATACAACCTAATGTGTTGCAAGTACAGTAAAACTCTTACTAAAACTAAAGAAAGATGTCGCTGTCAATTATGACAGTGCTTCATGTTCATGGTGTTTGTTTGCAGTGTGATAAATCTTTGCTTGATAGCTCTCCTGCTATTAATTAAATTGAGTTTAAGTTTAATTCAGCTTTAGTTTTCAAGACAATGTCTTTTTCAGACATGACTTTGAGTGTTCTAAGGTATTTGGGTTTTTTTTCTTCTGAATTTTGTCCTTGGGAAAGAATATTTCATTTGGTTTCTCTTTTGTTAAATTTTTCAGAAAATGTCATAAAAGTTATTGGAAAGGAAAGTAGTGTTCCATTGATAGTGAGATACTTTAATAAATGGTTCATTGAATTATATTTCATGCTTATATCCCTTATTTATTGATTGTTTTCTTTTTCAGAAATGTTCGTTTTTAACAAACTTTATGCTGATGTAGATTCTAGAACTATTCTAAAGTTGTTTGCTTAGCATGCCTCATTTAATGTTTGTAAAAGTTGAAAATCTGAAAATGAGAATTCATTCAGGTCTTTTTAGATTTAGTACCAATAGATTTAATGTTGATCTGTTTCTTGATATTGGTTTGTTTGCCTTTTTCCTCCACAGGCTACCTAAGGACGATGTGCAAATCATTTTACAACTGTGTTTGTGATCTTGAAAAGGCATTAAGTTTTCCATTTTCCGTCATATTCATGGGTGTGAAACTGCTTATTTTCAGGCTCGCCCATTTTGCCAGCTCACTTAGACTTCTTCAACTTCTCTCGGGAAGAAATGCCATTGAGGGACGAGGGCCCGCGGCCATCCTCCTCAGCTGGAACAAAAGCTAAGCGACAAAGGGAGAGCACACCTGATTCATCCAGTAGTAGTGTTGCTAACGATGAAGTAGCTGAAGCAGCTGGAGTCTCTACTCCTCCTCTGGTGAGTCCTCATGTTCTACCATTTTCCATTGCCTGCTAGTGTGGATAGGTTAAGCTTCCCTCAGCAAAATGTATCTTGGCTTTTTGTGTTTGCTTTCATTTCTCTGAATTTAAAACAAAAATGAAAGTATCTTTTTATTTATGAAAAAAATCTGTGCTTTTTTTTTTTTTCTCTATAATTGAGAAAAGAAGAGATCAAAATGTTTAGTTTATGTGTTCTCTTTTAGTAGTGCATCTCGTGTAGTTTTTGTTCGCTTTTGTTGTCAAATTTTTAAAGATAATTGTGTAAAACTGCAGTTTATCAGTCTATCTAATTATATTCTGTCAAACTTGCTCTTATGGCCACCTGTGTAAGACAATCAACTGTACAGATGACCACTTTTCACTTCCCCCAGTGGTTTAAAAAAAATATTAAAGGCCCACCACTGCTAACATATTGATTTTACAATTTTTTTCATCTCTAGATAGAAAAATATTGTCCCGAACACATTGTTTTGAGTGAGGTCCAGAACCTGAAAAATGAATAAAAAAGGGGTTAAAATTGTTCTGAACTGGCTAGGGGTCTTCAGTTTTCTGTACACTGACAAAAAATGATTCCTCGACGACACATTCAGTTCTGACGTTCGCATCAAGAAAACCACTACTAGCTACCCAAATGTTTTTTTCCGATTTCCTCCTAAGGATACATTTTTAGGGGATGAGTCTAAAGAAAAAAAATATTGTGCTTGTTAGAGCTTTTAAACAAAACAATTTTTTAAAAAAATGGAATAGGATTTTTCTTTGCTATTAAATTCTTTCACTCTCCAACCTGTCCAAACTTTACTATTGTGGTAAAGGGTAGTAAGTAAATTGATATGCACGCGATTATGACATTTTGTGGGTCTGGAACACCAATCAGCTGGCGTAGCAACCAAATTCGATTGAAGTGTCAGTCAGAAGATCTTATTTGACCCCTTTTATTTCCAGAAAATCACTCTAAACTATATTTCAGCTGCACATAACAAAATTTGGTTGTCTGATTTGTTTCTGCTTAGAATATTGATCAAGTCTTCTGTAAAAGCGTTGCTTCTAATTTTCTTCTCACGTTGACAAAAATTGAGAAAAACACCTACTCTAGATTGCATGTCGGTCAGAAAGTCATAAAGATTGACGTCAGAAAGTCATAAAGATTGACGGTTTGAAATTTTTGCATGTTACGTTTTTAAGCCCACTTTGAGAATGGCTCGCATATATATCTTCTCACACAGACTTTAGCATCTCTTTTCACAATGGAAGTTTGATACATTTGGGCATTACCTTGACTCAAAATTGAGAGGGAATTTAAAAAAAAAAGTGTTTATAATTACTGCATAGAGCGAAATGCTCGCAGCTAAAGAGATTTGAAAACAACAACAACAACATCATTACTGCAGCTAGCTTCTGGCTTTGTCATGACAAGTCCCTTTTTTCATTTTGCTTCACTTACCCCATTTTGTCTTTCAAGAATATGAATGTTTTATTTTAAGTTGTTTTTTTTTCTTCTTTTTTGTGTGTATGCATTGCTTGTATTAGAGTATTCGCATGGCCTTGGTAGTTCCCTGCTTTACCTGTATATTTATTTGCTCTGTTCTTTTGTGTTTTCCCATGTTGGATGGATTTAAATGCTGGCTTTTGCGGTAAGATGAAAATTGTTCGAGTCACTTGAAGCAAAAATTAACACTTAAATAAATTTATTCTTGTTGACTCAACCATTTTTATTGTTCATCTTTTTTTTTGTACAAGCAATTTTATGGATTATTTCCGTTATAATTTTATGAGTATTGTCTGGTCAGAATTTGTCTTGACAAATCAGATTGAATTATTCTGCTTATTCCTTTGTCTTGTTTTAACTGTTTGTGAATAAGTGTCTGTTGTATCTTACTAATAACTAAGTGGACTCTAAATGAGTTGGGTGGAAAAGGGAGGACTGGAGCTTTAGAATATATTTTTTTGTAGAAGAGGTCAATTTTAATATGTTCATGTGAAACATATTTATAAATTTATCCATTCAAAATGAAATGTCAAATGTGAAAAGAACCATTTGGTGGATAAAGTTGTTCTTGTGTAGTATGATGAGTTCGCTTTTGGTGCTATTATTTATGTTGTGATTGTGAAGTGTGCTGAGTGCTCTTCTGTGTGAGCAGGGAAAGAAAGCTGATTGAGAATTGTGTTTTTATGTACATGGTCTGCCTTTTGACTTGGTTCATGCTTTTTTGTTCTCCTAAGTACTTGAGTTTAACTATGAAAAGCAATGGAAACAAATGTTTAAGGGGAATCCTTTCTTTCACCATGGGATGGTTTGTAGCTTAAAGAATTAAGAATTTTAAAATGATGCGCTTTTCCTTTGACAGTGTAATTTAAATAAGCCGTTTCAGAATTAAGAGGTCTTTTGTTACCAGATGAAGTTGAGCTGAGTTTTAAAAAGAGGAATTAAGCTTGAAGAATGGTGCAGACTCTTGAAATGGTTAATTAAAGAAAAAGCACAACAGTTGTTACTTTGTTGTCGTAATTAGCCCAATTATTGGCTTCCTTTTCTGTAATCTATTGCCATAAAATATGAAGGGGAGATTATGAGCAAGATGCATGTTTGTTGTGAGTTTTGTGCTGACGATAGGAACAGCTTAATGAAAGGCTATAATTGATCTTCAGCAGTTTCATTTTTTTTTTAAACTTAGAAAAGTTAAAACCATGTTTCCTTAATGACCATACTGATGTTAGGGATAGGTTGCTGTTCTTAAATAAAAAATATATTTTACAAACAACCCAAAGCTACTGTGTCACACAGTTTTAGTGGCTTTTTTGAGTTTATTCCCTTTGTCTATCTGATACCACAGGTTTGTCTAAATGTTAGTCATTTGTCTCCCCTGCACTTATGGTACGAGAATGCACTTATGGTACGGGAAATATGTGGGATTTTTCTCAGGTTTTTCACATCATAATCTTTTCGGATAGGAGTAAAATTGTAGTACTTGTGTCAATTCTGTGCTCTTTAAATGTATACTTGCTCTTGAACATTGGTCAGTTAGTAAAGCCTGCATGGGCTGGAGTTGATAAGCAATCGTTCCCCAGTTCGGATGAAACTGAAATTTTTTTAGCTGCTTTAAAGGGGAGGAACACACTATCCTTGTTTGAGAATGTAAAAGTTACGGTGTTAGTGAATCAACTTATAATTGACTGTCACTGAAATCTTGCATGGAGCAAAGAAGAAGATAATTCTCTCTGGTAAGAACAATTCAAGGCATTGTTTTTGTGGCTGGAAGGTAGAAAAATTATCTTATGCTTTTCTTGTGCGGAGATCTTTATAAGACAATGACCTTACTTATAACTTATTCATAACAAAAGCCAAGTCTGTTTCATTCCTTTCCCTCTCAGAATAAATGACATTCCAAGTTATAGAGATACATTGAAGTCCGCTTAAACTGAACACTTTTAATCTGAAAACAGCAGTAGATGGAAAAAAAGTGAAATCCCGGATTTTTTTCTTCTATTTGAATTTGAGAAACCTCTCTAAATCAAAAACACGGCTGAACAGAAGAAAATCTGGCAGTCCCGCATATTTCGGTTTAAGCAGACTCCACTGTATTTCATTACTTCCATTTATGATATTTGAATGTTTGAATCATTAGGAATTCTCTTTAAGTTGTTATAAATGTATTTTTCTGCTGCTTTGTGTGTGTGTGTGTGTGTGTGTGTGTGTGTGTGTGTGTGTGTATTTGACCTGTGTTTGAAAAACTACATCCAGAAAGCAACATTCTGGAGTTCAGCTGACCTCCACATTGCTTACCAGGTCAAACAAGAGTTTGACCTGTTTTTATACATATTACTATACCACCAGACTCCAGATTGAATAAATATTACTTTTACCGACAATGCTGTCTTTGTGTCTGTAACCGTCTTTGTACCCAGTTACAATGTTATTGATTGCTATTAAATGATCATGAGAACCCTGTTTAGTCCTGTGTAAACATAGCTAATACTTTGTCAGGCCCCGGATAGAGACAGTCATATCTGTCAAGGGATGTAAGCTAATAGTTTAAACTGAACATAGAGAAACTGAGCCGGGGTTATGGTTCCTTGAGAATGACAGCAATGTGATGGAGAGCTCGTATCTCTTTGACATTAAGGGATATTGATGAAGTGATTAACTGGGTTAGTGTTCTCAGCAAGTGGAAGCTAAAGAAACTGGAAATGTCAAAGTGATATTAGTGATGAAGTGTGAGTTCAGTTGAGGAGTAGATAAGTGGGGAGGGTTTGTGTGTGTGTGTGTGGGGGGGGGGGGGGGGGGCAACTCTTTATCTGGTTGGCTGGTCCTGTGATGCGCCTTGAGTTGATTACTCTTACTTTTATTTTTGCTTTTTCCTTACATATGCTGTGTGCTCTTTTCTTGCTGTAAGATTTTTGTATGTTCTTTGTTAGTGTTTCCATGTTGTTTTTGTTGTATTTTTTACATGTCTGGTTGGATTTCTTTGTGTTTTTATATTTTGTTTCAGAGATTAGTTTTTTGTCCTTTAGTTTTTGATTACTCTTAATTCTCTGTTTGTTTATTTGTCTGTCTATCTGTGTGTGTGTGTGTCTGTCTCTGTCAGTCTCTCTCTTGTCTGTCTGTCTGTCTCTTGCTCTCTCAGTGTTTCTTGCTCTCTGTATGTTACGTCTCTTTCTCT